GTGAATATCTTTTATTTTTCATTTTAGTTTTTGTTCTGGAAATCCTGGGATGCATAGACAATGAGTATCTCTTTTAGATCAATAACTTTATTTCTTAGAGCAGTTTTAGGTTCACAGCAAAATTGAGAGGAAGGTACAGAGATTTCTCATTATTTTCCATGCCTCCGACACATGCATGGCCCTTTCCATTATTAGTATTTTCCACCAAAGTGGTACATTTCTTACAACAGATGAACCTACATTGACGCATTAAAATCATTCAAAGTTCATAGTTGACATAGGCTTCATTCTTAATACTATACATTCTGTGAATTTGGACAAATGTATAATGACATGTATCTATTATTTTAATATGATAGAACAGTTTCACTGCCCTAAAAATTCTCAATACTATATCTGTTCATCTCTCCCTTTCTTCCTAGCAACTCCAACCACTGATCTTTTCTGTCTTCACAGTTTCACTTTTTTCAGAAGAGTCATATAGTTGAAATAATACAGTGGATATATTTTTGACTAGTTAAAAAGTTAAAGTTCTATAGTAATTGAATGTAGTCATTTAAGATATACTTTGTCCTTTTGCTTTTCTTCCTTTTTTAATCATAAGATCTGGTGACATGTACTTTACATATTTAGAAAACATGATTTGTGTAGATATTTGCCACATAACAGAAAGGGTTGAGGAAAATGACACCATGCATTACCACACAGTACACACTGGAGCATGTTGGTTTATGGGGTGGGTTCAGATAGACTCTCTGTTCCTTGGAAGGGAAGAAGTTCAAGAGGTTGTACTTTATAAAACTGGAATCACAAAGCCTTCCATACATACTTTCGGTTGGAAATAAGACCAGGCAGTGAATGCTAAAGGTAAATACCCATGCTCCTCACTGATCCTCTTCCTTTGAGGGATGAGTTTGAAAACAGTCTGTATTATGATGACATGACTCATCTATGACTAGATTCTCTATCATGAGGGATGACAAGGAAATCACACAATTTTGCTTTATATAGGTTTAAAAAGAATTTTTTTCTCCTGCTAGGGAGAGGGGAAAGCATTGGTAGTTTTCTTTCTATACATTTTTCACATGAGATAGTACTGCCTGGCAGCCTGCCACACCTCCCCAGTGTTTCTTAAGCTTCTCTCTGAATATGAGGTGTGATTCAGAGTGATTAAGCTCTTAAATGAGTGATCTTTCCAGTGGTTCTTTCTGTGGGAGGTAAAATAGCAGGTGAATTTGGGCCTTATTATATGTAGAGCTGAGCATATAGCTACAACTAAGTAAACCACCCAGCACCTTTCCCAGAAGAGTATTAGCCAGAGTAACACAGTGATCTCTCTTGAGCTCTTCAGTCATTTTATCCTAACCTGAACAGTTTTAACTGCAGAGCTAGGGAGGCTGTATTGTGTTCAACAAAGTAAGTGCAGTAGTTCCCCCTTAAATGTAAGAGATACATTTCAAGACTCCCAGTAAATGCCTGAAACCACAAATCGTACTGAATCACATACCACTTTTTTCTACACATATATATCTATGATAGCATTTAATTTATAAATTAGGCACAGTAAGAAATTAACAATAACATCATAAAATATATTGTTATGGTTCTCACCCTTTTTCCTGTGATGATGTGAAGTGATACAATGCCTGTGTAATGAGATGAAGTGAGGTGAACGAGGTAGGCATTGTAATGCAGTGTTGGGCCACTATGCACCCCCTGAATCTAAGTCAGAAAAAACTTCATGAGCTATGAGTGACCCTGCATCTTCCGGCTTTAATGATGTTGATGGCGGGCAACAGAAGGAGACCGTGTTGATGACTAATGGGTGAACAGCATATGCAGTGTGGATGCACTGAACAAAGGGCTAATTCACATCCTGGTCTGGATGGAGGGGCTCAAGGTTTCATCGTACTTCTCAGAATGGCACACTAAAACTTATGACATGTTTATTTCTGAAGTTTTCCATGTGATATTTTGGGAATACAGTTGACTATTAGCTGTAACCACAGAAATAAAAACAAATGTAAAATCTGTTTAGACATTGACTCATTTCTTGGTGTACAGTTCTTAAAATCATTAGAAATTCCAAACTGATGTCTTTTTGTATGCTAATGATTGACAGCTGGAAGCCCCTATGTAGATTCAGGATGGCAACTGGTCATTATCGTTAAGACGTTGATTAGAGGGTTGAGATCTCTTGTCTCACTCTGCAGACTCTGGGGAGAAGAGAAAGCCTGAAGGTTTTCAGTCACCAACGGCCGGTGATTTACTTAATCAGTGGTGCATATGTAATAAACCTTTCATAAAGACCCAAAGGGACTGGGCTTGGAGAGCTTCCAGTGCGCTGAATACATTGAGGTTCCTGGAGGATGGTGTGTCCTGGGAGGGCATGTAATGTTCATCCCACTTCCCCCACACTTTGCAGTGTGCAACGCTTCATCTGTACCTTTTGTAATGTCATTCATAGCAAACTGGTAAATGTGTTTCCCTGAGTACTTTGAGCCATTCCAGCAATTCAATTTAACACAAATTGAAGCCAATTGGTCAGAAGTTCTGGAGTTTCAGACTTAGGACTGATGTAGGGAGGCAGTCTCAAGGTGCTGAGCCCTTTACCTGTGGAATCTGATGCTATCAGAGAACTGAATTACAGGATACCCAGCTTGTGTCATCTGCAGAAATGATTGCTTGTTTGCTGGTGGGGAAAAACCCTCCCTACATTTGATCATGGAAGCCTTCTTTGTTGATGATTGTTTCTGTGGTGTGAGAGCAAAGAAAAATGTGGCAAGTATGTCTTTTCTACACGTCATGGATAAGGGAACTACTGTATACTCTGAAGGCAGTTAGCCCTTCAGATTTTGGTTCAGAAATCATGCTCTTTGACACTGGTCACTCATCACACCTGTTCTAACAATACGATTTTTAGTCAATCTCATATGGTTTGTCTAAGATGACTTGTATACTGAAGTTCACTTGTAGAAATCAAATTTTGATAAATTTATTCTTTACATTTAATAAATACAAAGTAAGGGAAGTAAGAGTTCTTACTGCACTAATCACGTACCAGTAGGTATAATTTATATTAATTCTAATAAGTTCTCAAGTATGCTCCCAAAGGAATGCTTCGTAACAAAGCATCAGTCCTATACTTTAAAGAAAAATGGTCTAACGCATGCACACGAGTGCATAATTTTTTTTATGACGGTAGAGTCTTGCTATGTTTTCCAAACTGGTCCCAAACTTCTGGGTTTCTCAAGTGATCCTCCTGCGTCAGTCTCCCAAGTAGTTGAGATTACAGGCATGCATGACTATGCCTTGTTATGTTTTTAATATTCTATATATTTGTTATTGATTTACAATGCATTTTATCTTTTCCTTTAATAGATCCTGGGAGTTCTGATGAATCTGCAGTCAGGTAGGATTTTACAGATTCAAAAAATTGTATTAACTAAGGAAATATAGATGGAAGAAACTAATATCTATTGAGTGTTGTATTCTGGGCTAACCACCCTATTATGTGCTATGCATTTATCTCATAAAGCTGTCACACATCTGTGTTCTTATAACCTACTCTTTATTAAATAGGCAACTGTGGTTTAGAGAGTTTGATTAATTGGCTCATAACCCCACAGTTAACAAAGTAGCTGTCTCATTCACAGTCAAGCCATCAGCCTGCCTGGCTTCCAAATCTTTCTTTTGCTCCTCAGCATAGATGAATAAAGATCTGTGCAGCAATTGGATCAAGATATATGTTAAAATCAGATTAATGAAGACAGTCAAATCTAGCTATATATTAACTCTCATTTAAGGTTATTGTTAGAAATGAGGTTGGTCTAACAGTTTGTCCTAATAAATTTGACAATTTCAGTGGTAACCAATATCTTATTTTTACCATCAAAGGCTTTAGGGCAGTGTAAAGGTTTGGCCATAGGATTGTAAATTTTACAAAACCAAGATTAGACAAGTCTTAGAGAGAAATAACTTGACTTCCCAGTTTGATTTTTCCCTTTAGGCTAGTATTTCTGCCTACTTCCACAATACTTTTCTTTAGTCTTTTTTTCTTTTTCCATGACATTTCCATAACCTTCTCTTGATGTTTTAAAGTGTTCTTCTCTGCTTTTGGTGTTTCTTTTGTTCTACTATTTTTCCAAATTCTGCTGGCTATGTATCCCCAATTCTCCTATAGACAATCAAAAGCATGCAGAATTTCAGAATTTTAAGGAATCATAGGACTAATTAAAATAACCTCTAGTACTTCAACATGTGTTAAACATTCTGATCAAGTGTTTTTCTACATAGAGAACCTGAGACTCAAATAGATTAGGATAGTTTTCTTTTTGGACATAGGAAGTGGCAGAAATGAGATTTAAACTCATTTTAAAGCCCAGTACTCAGCATTCTTTTTTTATTTTATGGGTGTTTTTTTGTTGTTGTTGACGGGGTCTTGCTGTGTCACCCAGGCTTGAGTGCAGTGGTGCAGTCTAGGCTCACTGCAACCTCTGCTGCCTGAGTTCTAGCAATTCTCCTGCTTCAGCTTCCCGAATAGCTGGGATTACAGCTATACCATCGTGGCTCACACCTGTAATCCCAGCACTTTGGGAGGCTGAGGCAGGTGGATTATGGGGTCAAGAGATCCAGATCATCCTGGCCAAAATGGTGAAAATTGGTCTACTAAAAATACAAAACAAATTAGCTGGGCATGGTGGCAGGTGCCTGTAGTCCCAGCTACTTGGGAGGCTGAGGCAGGAGAATTGCTTGAACATGGGAGGTGGAGGTTGCAGTTAGCCAAGATCATGCCATTGCACTCTAGCCTGGTGACAGAGCGAGACTCTGTCTCAGATAATGATGATGATGATGATGATGATGATGATGATACAAAGGGGGAGTGAGTCTGGTGCACCCAGTGGATAGAATGAGAATGAAATTAACTGTTAAACCCAATGGCAGTGGCTAAGAATGGAATGAGCAGGGGAAGACCAAGTTTGATGAGAAACAATACCTTATTGGATAGGAATATGAATTCTTCAGTAAGAGATCAGAATATTGGAGTTTATGACAAGTTTAATAAAGATAAATTACAAAGATGAAGAACACAAGATCTTGGGAATTTACAAAAGCACATTAAAATAGAGGGTTCAAGGGAGCTTTAAACACGTTGCTGCTTTTTTTTTTTTTTAATCAATAACTGACAAATGAAAATTTTTACTGAAAGATGCTAAAACATTTTGAGACACTGGGAAGAGTCTCTACAGTAGATAGAAATGTGGTATCACGTGCTTCCATTCTGACTTACAGAGGGGTGGCTTAGAGCTTCTTGAGTACTAGGGGCTGGAGATTGCTGAACAACACAGATGTGTAGCCCAGGGCAGGTGTCTCCTCGCCTCTCCTTCTTTTCATAATTCACTGATGGTCTTCCAATGTTCATGTAGGCTGGGTCAGGGGCATGACTGACTGGCCAATCAGTCATGAAGTTCAGTTGGGAAATTGGAAGTGTGTCTATGCTCGGGGCAGTTGATGGAGACTCCAATTAGCTTGTTATTCAGGAGCAGGGATGTAGAGAGTCACTCCTGGTCATTTGAGGCCATCCTTTCAGGAATCTGTGCTGTCATAGATTGAAGATTTGAAGATTGGAGACTGCCATGGAGCCCGGCACAATCTGGAATCTGGAAGTCTATGGGAAGAAAGATATTTAGATAGTACTTAGGGAAATAGAGGTACAACTACCAGAACTCTGTTTTTCCAGCAGTCTCTCTTCTTGGATATCTGAGTGCCTATGAAGGTTTTTTTTTGAGAGGGAGTCTCACTCCATCACCCAGGCTGGAGTGCAGTGGCATGACCTCAGCTCACCACAACCTCTGCCTCCAGGGTTCAAGCGTAATAGCCTCCCTAGTAGCTGAAATTACAGGTTTTTGCCACCACACCTGGCTAATGTTTGCATTTTTAGTGGAGACAGACTTTCACCATGTTGGCCAGGCTGCTCTTGAGCTCCTGAACTCAAGTGATCTGCTCCCTTTGGCCTCTCAAATAGCTGGGATTTTAGGCATGAGCGACCGCACACGACCCTACCTGTGAAGGATTTAGGGGCTTCCTAGTTAATGTGGACCTGAAAAACGTAGGACGTATAGAGTGGGTATAATTGAATTTTTATTACTGTTAATGTGTTGATCTTTCTGGGAAGAGTCTTCTCAAAGAGAACATACCCGTTTGTTATTAGACTTTTGTGCACTTAGCATTCACACATTTCAAATGTTGCAGGTGATTCCCTATACTGTTTTGGGACAAAGGAAAGCAACAGGACCTTCTTAAGTGGTTTCTATGCTGAGGAATCAAGACTGTTACCACCAAGGTAAAGTGGCCTCTTGTAAATTAATTTTCTCACCCAGTCAAGTTTTGCATATTATTTACTTTTAAAATTTAGCAGTGGTTTATCTATCTACTTTTATGTTGGTAATACAAACTTGGTCAGAGAAAAGCATGGACGTGGCTAGTTGATTAAAAAATTTGTTTAAACTTGTTAACTAACAAAGGATTGATTAAGTACTGTGATGGGGTGGGGACTGATAGAAAATGAACTGGAAAATACATAGTGACAGGAAAATCACACTAGAAAATGCTTTCCCCAATAAAGGAAATATAAAATTTTGTTAAGGTTTATTTGGATAAATATTAATATTGGCTTTTAAATCATACTAGTGTTACTTTCATAATATTTATGCCTGTATAAATCTTCAGTGAATCAAATTACTTGTAGTTATCTGGAATCTCCCTGGTACTTTTTATTGGCAAAACTGTACAGCATATAGCATATAGCTTTTTTTGGACACTTATTATTTTGGTACCATATAGTTTTTAGGAGAGATTTTTTTTTTCTTCTTCTATTACTACTTCTGTAGTGAAACTAAAATAATATTAAAATTTGTAGAAAACAAGCTGAATATGGTGGTGTACACCTGTAGTCACAGCTAGTTGGGGGTTTGAGGCAGGCAGGACTGCTTGAGCCCAGGCGTTTGAGAACAACCAGTGCAACATAACCAGATTGTATCTGCTTTAAAAATATAAATTGTAGAAATGTAGAAATTTAAATTTATGTTACCAAACTTTGTATTACAAATGGATTTTTGTGTGTTTTATTAGTTGTCCATAAAGGGTATATGTAAAACACTTCATCTAATGAATAACATGTATTTTACTGCAAATAACCAGTTATATAAGTGGACTCTTAATACCAATATGGTAAGACTTTAACACCATAATTTTGTCATTGTAGTTTATTTAAAATATCCACTCAAAGTCTTTATATTACATTCAGAAATTTAAAATTTCAGAATTTTTATATTTAGTTGTTTAAATAATCACTTGAATTCCCTGCACACTATGAGCTACTGGAGGTCATAGACATATTTGTGTGTATCCCGGAGTACCTGGAATACAGTCTTCCATGTAAGAAGCATGTAATTGTTGCTTTTTCGAGATGGAGTTTCACTCTGTCACCCAGGCTGGAGTGCAATGGTGGGATCTTGGCTCACTGCAGTCTCCACTTCCCTGGGCTCAGGTGATCCTCCCACCTCAGCCACCCAAGTAGCTGGGACTGTAGGCCTTTGTCCCCATGCTTGGCTGAATTTTGCATTTTTTGTAGAGATGGGGTTTTGCCTTGTTGCCCAGGCTGGCCTTTAACTGTTGGACTCACGTAATATGCCACCTCAGCCTCTCAAAGTCCTGGGGTTACACGCATGAGTTGCCACATTCAGCCTTAATAGTTATTTAATCTGAATAAATAGATGAATGAATTTTTATATAATGGAATATTATAAGTAATATACATAATGAATCTATTGATTAAATACTGCAGTTTAAAAATATTGTTTACATTTGTATTATTTTTTAATGTTTAAGGATGTATATGTTTTGATGTGTTATTTTGAGAAATTATGCCATAAAAAAGGAAATAAATTAGATATAGTCATTAATAGCAAAGAGGGTTACACTATATTTTCTAGTAATAATTCAACTGGAATCTTAGATTATGATTTTAGACTAAAATTTCTTAAACATTTTCTTAGCCCCAACTCATGCTCTAATAAATATGCTTTTATAAGCCATGCATTACTCTTTAGAATTCGGTGACCAATTCTTTCTCTAGGTCAAAAGTTGATGGAAAGTTCTAGTTTTCCCTCTCTGTAATAATAACAGTCTTTAAGGTAGTGGTGGATGACCATGACTAGCTAACTGAATGTTTTATAGTAATAAAATTAAACTCTGTATCACAGAAATATTTTTTAAAAACTAATTGTAGTGTAAGTATTAACCTGTATTGTTAGGGCTATAAAGGAACAAAAGGCTCTGTTACATACCTGTTTCTCCATGTACTTTATGGTACATCATGTTGTTTCTTTTCTCTTGGCTGAAGCTCATATTAAATTGACTAGTTAGGCTTCTTTGTTTTTCTCCCTTCATCCTCACATTTTAAAAATGATATATCCCCACCTAATTTTTTTCTCACAGATCTCATTTCTTTAGTGAGTGGTCTTTCAGTCCACCTGTGTCTTCATTGTCAGCATATTTAGTTACAGCTTTCTCTTTAGTTATCTATGTGTGGCTTTCATTCAACAATTATTGCCCACAAGATTTACTCGTTTTTTTTTCTTTTTTCTTTTCTTTGTAAGAGCTGAATTTATGCACTTATCTTTATCTTTTTGACAAACAGAATAAAAACAACATACTATTTGCAATGCCAACCCACTTAAATAAGATACTACTATAAACTAAATTCTCATTTTCCCCCCACAAGAAGTGATTTATGCAAATAATTACCTCCTGCATATGCCCATAATGAATTATTTTCTCATGTTTTTAGCTCATAATTAATAAAGTAATTATGTGCTAAGTAAATTGCTACTTCATAGTATAATTCTGCTAATTTGCATGATTCATTTAAGAAGCAAGTGTATAGTGCCAGAAAAATAAAGTTTAGAATGTGCAAAAAATCACTTTGTGTTCCGAAAATAAGTTTATCTAAAATCTAAAGAATTATTTCAGATTAAGCTGTGGCCAGATGTATCATTCTGTGGTATATCTGGATATGCAAAATCATAAGGAGAGTTAGAAACAGTTTGAATTGTAGTTTTTATTGAAATTGGAACTTGAAAAGATAATGCTGGGATTTTAGTACGTTTATATATTTTGATTGTCCAATAAAGATCTACAATGAACATTTTAGGTTAAGAAAAAAACCTGGGGAGTAGTAACTATGTGGGACTGTAATAACAATTTAATTTAGTGTTGTAGTAAGTGGAAGTCATTTTCCAAAAGAGAACACACTGAGTACTTTTGTGGTAGCCACACTTATAGCAGAAGTATAAAATAATAATGGTGAATTCTAATGCTATGAAATGACTGTGGAAAGAAATGGGAGGGGCCTGACTTTTCAATAGAAGCAGCTGGTGCATAGTTTTACCAGCCCAAGTAGAAGCCCAAAGACCTGTTAGCGTCCTGGTTCTGCCACTTACGAGGTATGGGACCTTAGGAAAAATTCTTTATTTGATTGTCATTGACCTCGTTCACAAAAATGGTACTAATGATACCTCTCAGGTATGTATAGTGAACAAAAGTAGTGAGAAATGTAAGAACATTTGTAAACTGGAAAATATGATTACAAATGTGAGACAAAATGATCACAACAGTATTCAGTGACTTAGTAAAACTCAAGGAAAATTTTTGTAAACCTGAAGGATGATAAAATGGCAGTAGCATCAAGAAAAGAATGGGGAAGTAGGAAATGGCATGGGGATTTTAAATTTGGGGTAGGGGTGTGTTCAATTTCAGCAGGCTACTATGACTGAAGATGTCCTGTAAGAACATAGCAGTTTGGCACATGAGACTTTCTGATGAAATTTTAAGTGTTTTGACCTAGAATTTATTTTTGTTATAGATCACAAGGTGTGCTAGTCAGTGAAACACTGAATATACAAGATGAGATCTTATGCTATAGTAGTAGGAACAGAAAAAGAAAGAAAGAGCAAATACTTCTCACTATAAATGCTTTCTATAAAGAAAATAGAAAATGTTAGAAGATGTCAGCCGGGCGTGGTGGCTCATACCTGTAATCCCAGCACTTTGGGACGCGGAGGCGGGTGAATCACAAGGTCTAGAGATCGAGATCATCCTGGTCAACACGATGAAACCCGATCTCTACTAAAAATACAAAAATTAGCTAGGCATGGTGGCATGCACCTGTAGTCCCAGCTGCTCAGGAGGCTGAGGCAGGAGAATTGCTTGAACCCAGGAGGCGGAGGTTGCAGTGAGCCGAAATCACACCATTGCACTCCAGCCTGGGTAACAAAAGCAAAACTACGTCTGGGAAAAAAAAAAAAAAGAAGAAAGCAAGGAAGTTTGTAGTTAGGATGAGAATGGGAGAGGAATGGAAATCTGTGGTCTGAGAAGACCTCTCTGAGTATGATATTTAAGCTGCCAACTAAAGGATGAGAAAGATCCAGCCATGTGAAAGTCTAAGAGAAGGAAATTCTAAATGGAGAGAACAAAGGATCACATCTATTCATCATTTTGCTCTTAGCACCCTCGAATGGGCAAAAAGAAATCATATTTTTTATGATTACAATATGTACAACAAATGTGATATAGAATCCTGGCACATTTTAGATGCTTCCTAAATAAATGTTCTTTTTTTTCCTTTTAAAGAAATCTCGCTACACTTTTGAAGTTCATTCGTTCTGTCTCTCTCTCTCTCTTTTTTTCTTTCTTTCTCTTCCTTTCCTTTCCTTTTCTTCTTTTCTTTCTTCACAGGGTCTCACTTTGGTGCCTGTGCTAAAGTGCAGTAGTGCAATTTCAGCTCACTGCAGCCTTGACCTTCCAGGGTAACGTGATCCTTCCATCTCAGTCTTCTGAGTATATGGGATTACAGGTATGCACCACCATGCCCAGCTAACTTATGTGTCTTTTGCACAGATGGGGTTTGACCATTTTTCCCAGGCTGGTTTCAAACTCGTGGGCTCAAGCAATACACCCACCTTGGCCTCCCAAATTCTTAAGATTAAAGGTGTGATCCACTGCCCTGGCCTGATGGATGCAGCCAATCGCCATGGCACGTATATACCTATGTAACAAACCTGCATGTTCTGCACATATACCCCAGAACTTAAAGAATAATAAAAATAAAAATAGTTGCACAGTTGATATTCACTTGCTTTTAAATATAACATATAAATTTTATTACTACATTATTCTATTCAACCATTTTTTTCTATCAGTAAAGATTTTATTTAAAAATATGTAGTTTTTTTCAAGTCTGTTTACCTAAATGAAGCATCTTCTATGGTGTTCTATTGATGCTCAATATGACATATTTCCAAGTTTTCTATCATAAATATCTTAACACTGAAATATTTATATGAGGATATTTAATTTTTTAAATATTGTATTACACTAATATATGTATTTATATTACATATATTTTATATATGTGCGTGTGTGTGTATGTGTGTATATATAAGTTTTTGAGATGCAGTCTTGCTGTTTCACCCAGGCTGGAGTGCAGTGGTTCAATCTCCGCTCACTGCAACCTCCACCTCCTGGGTTTAAGCAATTCTCTTGTCTCATCTTCCCAAATAGATGGGACTACAGGTGTGCACCACCAATCCGGGCTAATTTTTTTTTTTTTTTTTTTTTTTGGTAGAGACAGGGTATCACCATATTGGTCAGGCTGCTCTCAAACTCCTGACCGCAGGTGATCCACCCGCCTCAGTTTGCCAAAGTGCTGAAATTACAAATGTGAGCCAACACACCTGGCCCCCCCTTCTCTCTCTATATATATAACATGTTATAACATGTCATGTTTTATATAACATGTTATGTATGTTTTAGATATAAACTTATATATAACATGTTATATATAAGTGTATGTTTATATATATATATATATATAATATATATTTTTTTTTTTTTTTGACAGTCTTGCTCTGTCGCCATGTGCCAGGCTGGGGTACAGTGGCACAATCTAGGCTCACTGCAACCTTCCACCTCCTGGGTTCAAGCAACTTTCCTGTTTCAGTCTCCCAAGTAGCTGGATCTACAGGCATGTGCCATCACACCCAGCTAATTTTTGTATTTTTTAATAGAGACAGGGTTTCACCATGTTGGCTAGGACTGTCTCGATCTCTTGACCTCATGATATGCTCACCTTAGCCTCCCAAAGTGCTGGGATTACAGGCATAAGACACTGCACTCAGCTGCCAATACATATTTTTTAAATGTTTTCTTGTTTTTGGTGGAGATTGCAAAGTAGAATTAGGTACTTTGAAGCTAGTTCCTGACTGAGATATGTACATGCTAATATTTTGTCTGTGAATATGTTTCCTTTGGACTGCCATGCTTGGATAAGCAAGTCAATGGACATATGAAGATAACAGATGAGGGTGATCTAGAAAGTGTAGATGATGTTCTCTACTGGAATGCTTTGGTTTTCAGAACATGCTTCTCCACTTATTTTTTTAAGTCAAATTAGTTTTAAAATACTAAATTGAAATTTCGGGGGAAACAGAGTCTTGCTCTGTTGCTGAGGCTGGAGTGCAGTGGCATGATCTTGGCTCGCTGCAGTCTCCACCTCCCAGGCTCAAGTAATCCTCCCACATCAACCTCCCAAGTAGCTAGGACTACAGGCACACACCACAATGACTAACTCATTTTGGTATTTTTTTTTAGAGAGAGAGATAGGTTCTCATTATGTTGCCCAGGCTTGTCTTGAACTACAAGCTCAAGCAATCCACCTACCTTGGTTTTGCAAAGGGCTAGGATTATAAGAGTGAGCCACCAAGTTTGGGTAAACTGAGATTTATTTAAGTAAATTGATTAATGCTGGGTTGTGGTGGTGCACATTGGCTATCTCAACACTTTGGGAGGCAGAAGTGAAAGGATTACTTAAGACCAGGAGTTTGGGCCAGGCACAGTGGCTCACGCCTATAATCCCAGCACTTTGGGAGGCCGAGGGGGGTGGATCATGAGGTCAAGAAATTGAGACCATCCTGGCCAACATGGTGAAACCCCATCTCTAATAAAATACAAAAAAAAAAAAAAAAAAAAATTAGCTGGGTGTGGTGGCGTATGCCTGTAGTCCCAGCTACTCAAGAGGCTGAGGCTGGAGACTGCTTGAACCTGGGAGGCAGAGGTTGCAGTGGGCCGAGATCATACCACTGCATTCCAGCCTGGCGCCTGGTGACAGAGCAAGACTCTGTCTCCAAAAAAAAAAAAAAAAAAAAACCCACAACACCAGCAGTTTGTGGCCAGCCTGGGCAATATAGTGAGACCTTGTCTCTACAAAAATAACAATAAAAAAGTAGCCTAGCATGATGGTACACAGCTGTAGTTTCAGCTACTCAGGAAGTTGAGGTGGGAAGATTGCTTGAGGTTGGTGGTTGAGATTGCAGTGAGCCATAATCATGCCACTACATTCCAGCCCTTGGTGACAGAGACCCTGTTTCAAAAAAAGAAAAAAAACTGATAAGAAAGTCTTTATGCAACTCATTATAATTTTTTGAATGGAAATTCATGCTTGATATTACCTCAGCAGCGTGTCCTTGAGAAAGTGTCAGAGCCTTTACCTGGACCTGCCAATGGAAAAACAAAAGAAAACAAAAAACAAAGTATAGTCAATGTAAAAGAAGGTAAGAATACTATTTTATTTAAAAAGTCATTTGATTGAATTAAAAAAATATGAGCACTAATATATTCAAATAGCTAAAGAAAATGTTCTGTTAAATGTATAATAAGTAAAGGAGAAGTAAAATGGTGATAAGTTGTATATCTAATCAGGGGTCAGCAGTTGAGTCTATTATATTGAGAGTACCACTAAAGGATCTGAATTATTCCCATTTTAAGATACTCTAAGATCTGAGGAAAATCAGGAAAGAGGGAAGATAAAATGAATAAAAGAGAGAATGAGGAGGGCAGAGTGTACATGGAATAAATGAAGAAACAATATGTGGGCGTATATAAAGGAGGGTAGTAAAGTCAAATTGAGTTGTAGAAGAAGGAAGAGCAGGGTGATAGAAATAGGAAAAAAGGTAATGTCAGCTTCCAGCACCAAAATGTCATGGGGAGAGAATCAGAGTAACATCTTCCTGCCCTTGCTCTCATTCTCACTATTAGAGAGGCATTAAGGATTGAGGTACCTCACCACACAGACCTGTGTTTTATTTACCATAGATGAATATCACCATAAATGGCCAGCTATGTATGGCCATAATTTAGTTTTATAGAAAATGTCATAACTTCATTGTATAGTATCATCTAGGCCAAATTAACATAATTGAATAGTGTCAACTGATTTATGGAGAGGAAGTTAGAGAAGGTATAGCCTGATTAAAAGTGTATTAGAAACGTTATGGCTTATAATGCAGAATTAAATTCAGGGACTTAATAGGGAAGGAACTTAACTGAGGCTAAGTTCCAGATGGGCAATTACGGTAAACAAATGTGGAAGCACATTAGTGTAGAACAGGGCATCCAAATTTTCATGAATTAGTTGAGGAGCTTCTGGAAAATGGACATTCTCATTCAGCATGTGTGGGATTCTGCCCTTCTCAAGAGTACTCAGGTGGTGTTGGTGCTGTTCCTTGGACAGAGCTCCGAATAACAAGGAAACAGCCTTCCTTAGAGAAATCTGGAAAAAGAACCATTGGACAGCAATTTAAAAAAATAACAGGATCAAGGGAAGGCATTAATCTCCTTTTATTTCTGAAATAGGATTCTAGCCACAGAGGAAGCAGAATGAGATGAAAACAGAAATTATTGGTGTATACTACTGCTGAATACGGATGAAAAAAGTGGTTGCAATTATCCATAAAAAGCAGTTAGGTCTTAGGATGACAGATCTAAAGATTACTTTTGCAAAGGAAGAAGGATTGGGAAAGGGTAAGGAAGAGTGAAGAAAAGAAAGTTTGTTGGGGGACTTTGGAGTTAAAACCAAGGAAACTTGAGACACCTCACTTCCAGTTCCTTGGGCATATGCCCAGTCTAACAAAAGCAGTTATTGCTGTGGAGAGTACTGGAGGCAGGAGGGAATGCTAGAATTAGGGTAAACCACAGCAGCTAATTTCTTTTCATAACTGTCAGGCCTCAGAGCAAGAAGTTTCATTGGTATGAGTGAATAAGATGTGATTAAGTTGCATTTTGGCTAATTTTGGGGGGGGGGGTCCAGCCAGTTCTTTGATATGATAGCTGTTTTTATAAAAGTCATTTACAGAGTAAAATTACATGCCAAACTTAGCTAATTTTAGAAGGGATCATATTATAAAATTCATTCTGTGATGACCAAAATTGTTATTTTCTAAGAATACTGCACTGATCTTGAAATATAAACATTTATTCTTTTCTGTCAAGACTGGCAATTCAATGTTTTCTCTTTTGATACATATTTTGATATTGAAAGCTTATTCTATATGGTTTATTTGATGTGTTTTAAGTCTTGCATTGAGTGGATCAAGGAACTCTTAAGGTCAAACAAGAGGATATGAGAAATGTAGGTGCTTCAGTGGCCACATGGGCATGGGAAAATGAGAATTTTGAGAAACTGTTATTTCATAAGTGTGTATCATAGCTGATCAATTTAGAACACTTTCTTTGATGAGAGGTGAATCACACATTCACCTGAACTGGCATCCCAACTGTGTATTTCCTAAGTGACAGGACAAGGGGAAGCACATGATAAATATTTGTGGTGTTCTGGCATCAATGCCTCTGATGTTTCAAGTTTAAATACTCTGTAGCATTCACCATCAGCCTTGACATTGATTCTCTGTTATAATTTGCTCCACTGTTGAATGGTCCCTTTTATCCTTATCAGCCCAATGTGTTCACGTTAATATCCATACTTTTCTGTTTTAATTATAGGCATTTGAAAAAATCTCACTTTTGAAAAATAAACTTTGTGATTTAGGGATCCTATATTCCTATTTTACTCAGTATATTTCCATCACGATGCTGTCCTAGGCAATGAAAAGATGCCAAAAAGAACCCTCGAAACCTTAAGTAATTATTTTCATAGCCAGGCATGAGGACTCAGCTTGATACTAACACTGCGTAAATGTTTCGTTAGCCTGGTCATACCTACATATAATTGATGACATGTCCCCTTTGCTTTGTAGGGCCTCCTGAATAACATCCTTCCTTGAAGGTAATTATATATATATTTATTTTTAATTACTATGTATTGTATAAAATATACATGATTTATTAGTTATTTTCTTAAAAAACCCATTCAGCCTACCACTGAAATGGAAGATCCTGTTGTGAGAGAAGAAGTACAAAGAAAGAATGTACAGACATTGAGAGCAGGTACATTTTCAATATAAATGGAATGCTGGAAATAAGTACATTAAATGATTGGAAGTACTCACATTCTTCTTACTCCTAATTCTTTTTATTCTAAATTGAATGGAAGGCATTGACATAAATGTTATTGTTGGTGTCCATATTTCAATAATATGATAGGGATGCTTATTTTTGGACATAAGACATGGTAGAAATGAGATTTGAACTTGTTTTAAAGCCCAATACGCTTCCTCCATTTTTTATTCCATTGGCAGGTTTTTTTGTTTGTTTTTTGTTGTGGTGGTGGTGGTTTTTTTGAGACAGAGTTTTGCTCCTGTTGCCAGACTGGAGTGCAGTAACAATCTCAGCTCACCACAACCTTTGCCTCCTGGCTTCAAGCGATTCTCCTGCCTCAGCCTCCTGAGTATCTGGGATTACAAGCATGCACCACCATGCCCAGATAATTTTGTATTTTTTAGTAGAGACAGGGTTCCTCCATGTTGGTCAGGCTGGTCTCAAACTCCTGACCTCAGGTGATCTGCCTGCCTCAGCCTCCCAAAGTTCTGGGATTACAGGTATGAGCCACTATGCCTGGCCTGGCATGTGTTTTAATAATACAAAGTGGGAGTGGGTCTGGTGCACCCAGTGGATAGAATGAGAAGGGAATTAGCTGGTGAACCCAATGGAAATGGCTAAGAATGGAATGAGCAGGGGAAGGCCAAGTTTGAAGAGAAATGACACTGGATACAGATTATTCAATAAGAGATTAGAATATTGGGATTTATGACAAGTCCAATAAATTATAAAGATTAAGGACACAAGATACTGTGAATTAACTACAAAGGCACATTAAAATAGAGGGTTCAAGGAAACTCTAAACAGATTGCTGTGCTGTTTTTAAATCAAGAGCTGACAAACTTGAAGATTTTTGCTGTAAGATGCTAAAAATTTGTAGTCACTGGGAGGAGTCTCTACAGCAGACAGAAATGTGGTATCATCTAATTCCATCCTGACTTACAGAGGAGTGGCTTAGAGCCCCTTGAGTACTGATGGGCTGGAGATTGCTGAACTACATAGATCTGTGGCCCAGGGCAGGTGTCTCCTCATCTCTACCTCTTTTCCCAAATCACTGATATCCTTCCCATAGCCATGCAGGCTGGGTCAGGGGCATCGTTGGCTGTCAAATCAGTCGTGAAGTTCAGCTGGGTAGTTGGAGGTGTGTCTGTGCTGGTAGTTAGTCGAGACTCCAGCTAGATTGTTATTCAGGAGCAGGATATAGAGCGCTCCCACTCCTGGTCATTTGAGGCCATAGTTTCAGGAATCTGTGATTTCATAGACTGAAGATTTGAAGATTATTGGAAACTGCCATGGAGCCCTGCATAAGTGGAATCTGGAAGTGGGAACCCATAGGAAGGAAGATATTTAGATAGTACTTAGGGAAATAGAGGTACAACTGCCAGGACTCTGTTCTTCCAGCAGTCTCTCTCATTGGATATCTGAGTGCCTATGAAGGTTTTTAAGGGCTTACTAGTTTATGTGGACCTAAATAAAGTAGGACCTATAGAGTGAAAATAATTGGATTTTAAAAATTGTTAATGTTTTAATCTTTCTGGGAAGAGTATCCTCAATAAGAAAATACACCTTTGTTATTAGACTTTTGTACATTTAGCTCTCACACATTTCAAATACAGCAGGGGATTCTCTGTACTCTTTTAGGACAAAGGAAAGCATTGGGACCTTCTTAAGTAGTTTTCATGCTGAGGAATCAAGACTGCCGTTTCGAAGTGACACACATTAGTCTTTTAACTAGAGATAAATAATGGACAAGGGACAGTGGATCTTTCTACCTTGTTTTAGGTCACAAGGTTCCTTCCGGTTTAGGTGACAAAACTTATGTCATCCATTAATTGAATTTCATGTTCTGCTTCAGGACAGATAATTTGTGAGGCTAAATTATTGTCAAGCTCTGCCAATATATTGGCTGTCACTATTTGTTACGGAGCTCAAGGTCAGTTTTCATTGAATATTTTATAGATTTAGACAGCTGGAGGCAGAAATAGTTAACTGAAATCTATTTTTAGAACAGAGGCCATATTTTAATTGTATCAAGAAATGTTATTTAATATACAGATGGCTGACTGATCTTTCCCCAGATTTTGTTTTTGTTTTTTGGAGGGGGAAGCTGAATATGAACTAGCAGTTAAAAAATTAACAACAACAACAAAACAACAACTTGCTCATTTTTATTGTATATTTTTGCTCTAAAGCATTTTCCAGTAACTGTGTGGATTCATGCCCTAAACCAGATGATGAAGACTTGACTTATTACCAAGGTAAAGCGGTCTCTTGCAAAATTTTCTCACTCAGTCAACTTTTGCACAGTATTTACTTTTAAAATTTAGCAGTTGTTTATCTATCTTTTTATATGTTGGTAATACAAAGTTGGTAAGAGAAAACCATAGACATATGGCTAGTTGATTTAAAAATTTTATTTAATGTTGGTAACTAACAAAATATTGATGAGTACTGTGACAGGGTGTGGGCTGAACAAAAATGAACTGGAATATACATAGCAACAGAAAAATCACATTAGGAAATGCTTTCCCCAATACAGAAAATATGAAATTTGGTTAAGGTTTAATTAGATAAATATTAATACTATGACTTTTAAATCATACTAGTCTGACATCTATATTTTTGCCAGTATAAATCTTCAGTGTATCAAATTACTTGTGGTAATGACGAATCTCCCTGGCACCTTTTAGTTAAAAAACCGTACAACAAATAGCATATAGATGTTTTTCTTGGACACTTATTATTTGGGTATTATATACTTGGTAGGATTGTCCCCCTACTTATATTATTGGTTCTGTAGTGAGAGTAAAATATTAAAAATTGTAGAAAAAAATAGCTGGGTGTTGTGATATACACCTATAGTCCCAGCTACTTGGGAGTTTGAGGTTGCCTGAGCCCAGGAGTTTGAGAACCACCTGGGCAACATAACAAGGCTGCATCCGATTTATTTATTTATTTATTTATTTTTAATAATTATACTAAGTTCTAGGGTACATATGCAGAACATGCAGGTTTGTTACATAGGTATACACGTGCTACGGTGGTTTGCTGCATCCATCCCCATCATCTACATTAGACATTTCTCCTAATGTTATCCTTCCCCAATCCCTCCATCCCCTGCTATCCCTCCCTTACCCACCTCTCCTCCTGACAGGCCCCGTGTGTAATGTTCCCCTTCCTGTGTCCGTGTTCTTATTGTTCAACACCCACTTGTAAGTGAGAACATGCAATGTTTAGTTTTCTGTTCTTGTGTCAGTTTTCTCGGAATGATAGTTTCCAGTTAAATCCATGTCCCTCCAAAGGACATGAACTCATCCTTTTTTATGACTGCATAGTATTTCATGGTGTATATGTGCCACATTTACTTTAGCCAGTCGATCACTGATGGGCATTTAGGCTGGTTCCAAGTTTTTGCTATTGTAAACAGTGCCACAATAAACGTGTGTGCATGTGTCTTTATAACAGAATGATTTATAATCCTTTGGGTATATACCCAGTAATGGGATAGCTGGGTCAAATGGTATTTCTAGTTCTAGATCCTTGAGGAATTGCCACACTATCTTCCACAGTGGCTGAACTAATTTACACTCCTGCCAACAGTGTAAATGCATTCCTATTTTTCCACATCTTCTCCAGCATCTGTCTCCTGATTTTTTAATGATCGTCATTCTAACTGACATGCGATGGTATCTCAATGTGATTTTGATTTGCATTTCTCTAATGACCAGTGATGATGAGCTTTTGTTCATGTTTGTTGGCTGCATAAATGTCTTCTTTTAAGAAGCATGTTCATATCCTTTGTCCACTTTTTGATGGGGTTGTTTTTTCCTGTAAATTTGTTTGATTTCTTTCTAGATTCTGGTTAATTAGCCCTTTGTCAGATGGGTAGATTGCAAAAATTTTTTCCCATTCTGTTGGTTGCCAGTTCACTCTAATGATTATTTCTTTTGCTGTGCAGAAGCTCTTAATTAGATCCCATTTGTCTATTTTGGCTTTTGTTGCCATTGCTTTTGGTGTTTTAGTCATGTAGTTCTTGCCTATCCCTATGTCCTGAATGGTATTGCCTAGATTTTCTTCTAGGGTTTTTATGGTGTTAGGTCTAATGTTTAAATCTTTAATCCAACTGGAGTTAATTTGTGTATAAGGTGTAAGGAAGGGATGCAGTTTCAGCTTTCTGCAGATGGCTAGCCAGTTTTCCCAACACCATTTATTAAACAGGGAATCCTTTCCCCATTGCTTGTTTTTGTCAGGTTTGTCAAAGATCAGATGGTTGTAGATGTGTGGCGTTACTTCTGAGGCCTCTCTTCTATTCCATTGATCTATATCTCTGTTTTGGTATCAGAACCATGTTGTTTTGATTACTCTAGCCTTGTAGTATAGTTTGAAGTCAGGTAGCATGATGCCTCTAGCTTGTTGTTGTTGTTTGTTTTCTTGCTTAGGATTGCCTTGGCTATGCAGGCTCTCTTTTGGTTACATATGAAGTTTAAGGTAGTTTCTTCCAATTTTGTGAAGAAAGTCAATGGTAGCTTGATGGGTTAGCATTGAATGTATAAACTATTTGGGGTAGTATGGCCATTTTCACAATATTGTTTCTTCCTGATCATGAGCATGGAATGTTTTTCCATCTGTTTGTTTCCTCTCTTATTTCTTTGAGCAAAGGTTTGTAGTTCTCCTTTAAGAGGTCCTTTCATCCCTTGTTACATGTATTCCCAGATATTTTACTCTCTTTATAGTAATTATGAATGGGAGTTCAGTCATGATTTGGCTGTCTGTTGGTGTACAGGAATGCTTGTGACTTTTGCACATTGATTGTGTATTCTTAGACTTTGCTGATTATGCTTATCAGCTTAAGGAGATTTGGGGCTGAGACGATGGGCTCTTCTAAATATACAATCATGTCATCTGCAAATAGAGACAATCTGACTTCCTCTTTTCCTAGTTGAATATCATTTATTTCTTTTTCTTGCCTGATTTCCCTGGCCAGAACTTCTAATACTATGTTGAGTAGGAGTGGTGAAAGAGGGCATCCTTCTCTTGTGCCGCCGGTTTTAAAAGGGAATGCTTCCAGTTTTTGCCTATACACTACATTATTGTCTGTGGGTTTATCATAAGTAGCTCTTACCTTGAGATACCTTCCATTAATACCTAGTTTGTGAGAGTTTTTAGCATAATGGGCTGTTCAATTTTGTCGAATGCATTCTCTGCATCTATTGAGATAATCATGGTTTTTGTCTCTGTTCTGTTAATGTGATGGATTATGTTTATAGATTTACATATGTTGAACCAGCTTTGCATTTCAGGGATGAAGCTGACTTGATCATGATGGAGCTTCTTGATGTGCTGTTGGATTCAGTTTGCCAGTATTTTATTGAAGATTTTCCCATTAATGTTCATCATAGATATAGGCCTGAAATTTTTTTTTCAGTTGTGTCTCTGCCAGGTTTTGGTATCAGGATGATGCTGGTTTCATAAAATGAGTTAGGTAGGATTCACTCTTTTTGTATTGTTTTGAATAGTTTCAGAAGGAATGGTACCAGCTCCTCTTTTTACCCATGGTAAAATTCGGCTGTGAACCCATCTGGTCCTGGACTTTTGTTTGGCAGGCTATTAACTGCTGCCTCAATTTCAGACCTTGTTATTCATCTATTCAGGGATTTAACTTCTTCCTGGTTTAGTCTTGGGGGGTGTACATGTCCAGGAATTTATCCATATCATCTAGAGTTACTGGCTTATTTGCAAGAAGTGTTTGTAGTAATCTCTGATGGTAGTTTTTATTTCTGTGGGATCAGTGGTGAGATCCCCTTTATCACTTTTTATTGCATCTATTCTTCTTCCTTTTCTTTTTTATTAGTCTGACTAGTGGTCTATTTTGTTGATCCATTCAAAAAACTACCTCCTGGGTTCACTGGTTTTTTTTTTTTTTTTAAAGGTTTTTTGTGTCTCTATCTCCTTCAGTGCTGCTCTGAACTTAGTTATTTGTCTTCCTCTAGCATTTGAATTTGTTTGATCTTGCTCCTCTAGTTCTTTTAATTATGACAATAGAGCAGATCTAAAAGAAAGTGTCCCAGCCTCATTCCCCTGCTACCACTTTTCATGGGTTTGTTGTTTTTCTTTATCTGTATGCTTATTTTTTACCATTAAAAATTCCATTCCCTATTTTTTAAGAAATATAATCACATTTATTTTTTTAAATAAACTTTGGATCACTATCATAAATGAAGAATTATTAACACTTGCCCAAAATAGATGATCTTTAAAAAATAAAAAAAACAAAACAGGAGCTTGAAACCCACTCTTCTTGTTACAAAGAGAGGCTAGCAGCTGTTAGGTACCAAAAGCAGCCTAGGACCCAACTGAGACTTTCTCAGGGACATAATCATAAGGACTAAATGAGAAATGAAAAACAGGCCAGGTGCAATGGCTCACACCTGTAATCCTAGCATTTTGGGAGGGTGAGGGAAGATGAGACCAGGAGTTCAAGACCAGCCTAGCCAACATGGTGAAATCCTGTCTCTACTAAAGACAAAAATTATCTAGGCGTGGTAGTGAGTGTCTGTATCCCCGAAAAGCAGTGACCTTGGGTAAGTCACTAAAACCTCTCTGGCCTCAGTTTCTGGTGCAGTAAATAGTACCTTTATGGTGTATTATAGATAAGCACTTTGCACAGTGGGTGCTCTGTAAGCTACAGCCACCATCATCACTGAAGGAGCAAATCTCACCTGCCCTGTCTGTGCCGTGTTGGCCTCCATCAGCTTCCAAGTCTCCTCCTTCTTGGTTTTGGCTTTCTGCAGCTCTGTGGTGCTGTTATGGTGCCTACTGATGTCCCCGCTATAGGAGGAGGAGCTGCTGAGCTATCTGGAGAAGGAAAGCACAGGGATGTCAATTGGACAGGCACACATGTAAACATATATATGAACATGTGCACATGTGCAACCCCCACTGCCAGGTCATTCCCCAGGGTTATAGGTCCCCAGAGAAAGGGAATGTCTCAGGCAGGAATGAGGCCTGTGGAAAACACAATCTGTGATGATCTCTGGGGGTCTGCAAAAAGCCCATGACCACTGATATGCAAAAAGTGCATGCTTGTTTTTTTTTTTTTTTTTTTAAGACCAATTCTAATTGATTTCAAATAAAAGATAAAACAGAAAGGGCACGTCTTAGATCATCTTTCAAACATGAAAAAGTTTCAAAATATGAAACAAGATAAAAAAATAGGGAAAGGTACCTAGTTCTTTCAATTTTCTTGTTTTACAAAGGTGGTGGGGGTTGGGGTGGGATCTTGTCCTGGCTGCAACTTCATGCAAGCATGTTACTCAGAAAGCACTTTTTGGCTGGCTGTGGTGGATCACACCTGTAAACCTGGCACTTTGGGAGGCCAAGGTGGGCAGATCACTGGTGGCCAAGAGTTCAATAACAGCCCAGCCAACATGGTGAAACCCTGTATCTACTGAAAATACAAAAATTAGGCAGGCATGGTGGCAGGCACCTGTAGTCCCAACTACTAGGGAGGTTGAGGCAGAAGAATCGCTTGAATGCAGGAGGCAGAAGTTGCAGTGAGCCATGATTGTGTCACTGCACTCCAGCCTCAGCAACAGAGACCCTGTCTCAAAAGAAAAAAAAAAAAAGGACTTTCTGTACATCAGTGGTCACTATCTTTATGCAGACACCAGAGAATATCACAGACTGCATTGCCCACAGTTCTGTGTTCAGTGGCTGAGTTGGTGCCACTGCACACTCAACTCCAGCCTGCACAACAGAGGGAGACTTCACCCCAAAAAAGAAATTATGGAGGCCATGCAAAACACAGAGGTGGCTCTTTGCCATGGAACTTTCTATGCCTTCCTTTACCTACTTATCTCGTGAACAAGATTACAGGCTACCTGAGGTCAAGAGCCCCATGTGATTCATCACTGCACCCCCAAAACCGTGTCCCCTGAAAACACTTCCTGAAGGCCAAATAAATCTCCCCTCTTTGATCTAAGGCCTGGGGGTGGGTAACCTTTCCTTACTCATGAGATCTGTGCAAAGGTCTTTGGTTAAGGCCAAGTCAGGTGGAAGTGGCCCTCAAATCCAAAAGCAAGTGTTGGTTTTCGGGGAGTAGCAGAGGGAAGAATAAGAATCAACTCTGGATGAAATCTAGAATTCAGGTGGGGTGCTGGGGCTTCCTGCTTCATGACCTAGGGCTTCACAAATCCAAGCTAGCACCTCGGTTGAAAATCTTACATCCTTCTGCGCTCATGCACTGTCTGGAATCTCCCACTAGGATGCAGGCTGTTTCAGATGGTAACAATGGCAAAAGCGACATGTACCAAGGCACAGTGCTAGGCCACATCATCTTTGCCCTCTTCTGACCCCTATAGTAACTGCAGGTCCACCATCCTTTCTCAAATCCCAGGGTCCAGTATGTTTAGGCTCTGACTTTGTCAATGTTTGTTGTTCTTTTGCTGTTTTTTTTGTTTTTTGAGACAGAGTCTCACTCTGTTGTCCAGGCTGGAGTGCCATGGCGCAATCTCAGTTCATTGCAACCTCTGCCTCCTGGGTTCAAATGATTCTCGTGCCTCAGCCTTCTGAGTAGCTAGAATTTACAGGTGTCTGCCACCATGCCTGGATAATCTTTCTATCTTTAGTCGAGACAGGGTTTCACCATGTTGGCCAGACTGGTCTTGAACTCCTATCCTCAGGTGATCCACCCACCTCAGCCTCCGAAAGTGCTGGGATTACAGATGTGAGCCACCATGCGCAGCCTACTTAGCCAGTTTTTAAAAGCATGGTTAACATACTGCATGTGCTATAAATCCCCAGGGATCTAAGGAAGCCCTCTATAATCAAACACAAGGATACTTCCTTTTTTGTAGAGATGGGGTCTTGCTATGTTGCCCATGGTGGTCTCAAACTCCTGGCCTCACGTGATTCTCCTGCCACGACCCCCCAAAGTGCTGAGATTACAAGCATGAGCCTCCATTCCTGGCCTTGAGATAGTTTTATATCAAATGCTGCTTCACAAAGATTGAACCTTCCAGGCCCTCCCGAGTGACATAAACAAAGACCCACACCATGTAGGGAACTCGAGTGTCAGAAGCATGGGCAGATGGTGAAATCATGAGGCCTATGTGAGTCACGCCACCTCCCCCCACTTACCTCTGTAGTTGCTTCCCCGCACTGTCTGTCACAGCATGCCGTTCTCCATTTGCTTTGTTTTCTTCCCTGGACCGCTGATGTCCATGACCCCTGGCAAAAAGAGACAAAGGAGGGGAGGGGAGTTATATGAGCCAGATGCTAAAACCAGGGTCAAGAAAAACTGGCCACTTCAGGGAGGAGACAGCAGAGCACCAGGCAGCCAGGATGCTCAGAAAGTAGATCTGCTCTGCAGAGGCCATTAACAGGCTGTCTTGTTGAGGGGCAGGTGGTATCTGAAGTTCAGCCCCTTAGGGCAGGAACAGTGATTTGCAGCTGTGCAGAGAGCTCCATCCACTGAGGGCACTGGGCCCAAGCCAGCATCCTGTACCAGCAGCAATGGGTAAAACCCAGCCCAGATAACAGTATCTCTGCTGTGTTAAGCTAACTTTCCCAGGACCAGGATGCAAGAAACTGCAGGAGGGAAATGGCACAGCCCCCTGGTTCCCTAGCACTGCAAGAAGAGGTGATATTCAAAATAGATAACCAGTTTGACAAGGACATTATTCAACAGGCAGAGGCCCAGGGACCCCTGTAGTGCCAGGAATTAACCCTTTAGTGCCCAGATCACAGAGAGCGAGAGTTCATTGTAAAAGGTACCTGAGGCACTGGCTGTTTCCATGGTAATAAGGAAGTATTTCAACATTTAAACAATTGAGGAACCTAGTTCTGCCAACATGGCAGGCTAAGGCATTTGTGCCAGGATGGAAACCAGTGCCTTCTGCTTCCTGCATTTAAGAAAGCCTTGTAAGAAAACAAAAATGTGAGCTGAGCTGAATGGCACACTTGGTGCCATAATTGATCTCCATTACGGTTCTGCCTCCTCATATTATCACCAACTGGTCACAAAGTGTGGATTGTCAGTGTCTTATGGACCACATGTCAAGTGTGGTTAGACCACAGATATGGCATGGTCTAAACACACTCTTAAAATTTACTTATTTTGGGCTGGGTATGGTGGCTTACACCAGTAATCCCAGCACTTTGGAAATCCGAGGTAGGTGGATCACTTGAGGCCAGGAGCCCCAGACCAGTCTGGCCAACCTGGCAAAACTCTGTCTTTGCTTAAAAAAAAAAAAAAAAAAAAAAAAAAAAAAAATTAGCTGGGCATGGTGATGCATGCCTATAATCCCAGCTACTCAGGAGGCTGAGACATGAGAATCCTTTGAATATGGGAGGCAGAAGTTGCAGTGAGCCAAAATTGAGCCAGTGCACTCTAGCCTGGGCAACAGAGCAAGACCCTGTTCCAGAAAAAGAAAAAATTAAAAGTAAGAATTTTTTAAAGTACACTTACTTTCTTTCCCCACTAGAATGTCAGCTCCAGGTGGGCTGCTGTATCCTCATTACATAAAACAGTGCACAGCAGGTGCTGAACAAATACTCGTCATCCACTGTAGGAAAAAAAAACAAAGATATAAAAGTATATATATTGTCTTCTCTTCCATCAGTTCCTCTCCTCCAAAGTAACAGTTTTGTGCATGCTTTTAGAAAAAACTGTATAAGCATATAGGCTTTTAAAAAATATTCTGGCAGATTTTTTAAATGGGATCATACTGTACATAGTTTTCTTTGTGTAGTTAATAGTATATCATCTGGGTTCCTTCTGATCTGCTTTTACTTTTTTATTTTTTTTTTTAGTTTTGGTTTTGAAATGGGTTCACGCTCTGTCCCCCAGGCTGGAGTACAGTAGTGTGATCACAGCTCACTACAGCCTCGAACTCCTGGGCTCAAGCAGTCCTCCTGCTTTAGCTTCCCAAGTAGCTGGGACAGCAGGTGCACCACAGCCATGCCTAACTTGCTTCATTTGTATTCATGATACATGCCTGTCTGCATGTGGATGTGCCCTGCTAGAACTACCTTTCTCCCATTCATTGCAAAAAAACAGGTTGTTCCCTGTTTTTTACTATTATGATCCATGCTACACTGAGTATTCTGATGCCTGTCCTGGGGTATGGTGACAGGTCTATCCCTGCCTAGCTGGCTTTGAAAGTTTAAAGACAACAGTGCAGGCCAGGCACAGTGGCTCACACCTGTAATCCCAGCACTTTGGGAGGCAGAGGCGGGGGTGGATCACCTGAGGTCAGGAGTTCGAGATGAGCCTGACCAAAATGATGAAACCTCGTCTCTTCTAAAAACACAAAATTAGCCTGGTGTGGCGGCTCATATCTGTAATCACAGCTACTCAGGAGGCTGAGGCAGGAGAATCACTAGAACCCAGGAGGCGAATGTTGCAGTAAGCTGAGGTCACACCATTGCACCCCAGCCTGGGCAACAAGAGCGAAACTCCATCTTAAAAAAAGAAAAAGACAGTGTAATGTACCATTTTACAAAGCTGGCCCCATATCAGGAGACCATATAGAGATGGACTATGGAAACTCCCTTTAAAGCACAGTTAAAAACAGTTAATGGTGAAGGATGATTTCAGATGATGCCCCATGTCTTTTCCGTCTTATTATTAACTGTGTCATTCTTTTTGTAATGTTGTGCTCATTACAACTATTCCTTCTTGGTCAGGTTGACAAATTTTTCTGTGAAGCAGCGTTAAACATTTTTATAAATATGAAACTTATTTGTTAAACTACCACCTCCTTCATGTTTGCCGAGTTGCAGGTGAAATGTTTAAGGAAATTCTAGCCTTTTCAGCATTTGTCAAAGTGTGCTAATGCTGACACTGAATTTTCTTAGTCTTACCTTAAATCTCTGAGAGTCTGGACCTGCAGGAGAGATGGTCTTCAAATTCAAACCTGCATCAGAATCACCTGGATAGCTTAATATATTTGGTTGGATGATTGATTGATTGAGATGGAGTATCACTCTGTTTCCCAGGCTAGAGTGCTGTGGTGTGATCTTGGCTCACTGCATCCTCCGCCTCCTGGGTTCAAGCAATTCTTCCACCTTAGCCTTTGAGTAGCTGGGATTACAGGCATGCAACACCACACCTGGCTAATTTAAAAAAATATTTTTAGTAGAGATGGTGTTTCACCATATTGGCGAGGCTGATCTCAAACTCCTGACCTCAGGAGATCCACTTGCCTTGGCCTCCCAAAGTGCTGGGATTACAGGCATGAGCCACTGTGTTGGCAGATAGCTTGTTACTATAAAATGCAGCTTTCTGGGCCCCACTCAGATTTTCAGTTTAGCAGGTCTAGGTGTGCCTGTGAATCTGCATTCCTAACACATCCCCAGGTACTGCTGCTGCTGGTTCAGGTCGACATGCAGAGACACACTGGAGTTAATCCTCACTACTCAAAGTGTGGTCTGTCGACCAGCAGCCATGGCATCACCTGGTGCTTATTAACAGTGTAGAATTTTAGGCCTCAGCCCAGATCCACTGAAACAATTTGAACTGTAACTAGTTCTCTAGGTGGTGTGTATGGACATTAAAGTTCAAGACACGCTGGAAGAAAGTGCGAGTAAGAAACTTTTTCTGGAAACTTTCAGCATTCTGGGCCATATGGTCTTTGTCAAAAATACCTGTCTCTTTCTGAGGAGTGGAAAAGCAGCCTTAGATAATACAGAAATCGATGGGTGTGACTGTGTTCCTGTAAAAATGTATTTAGAAACATTAAAATTTAAATTTTACAGAATTAGCATCTGTCATGTAATATTGTTCTGATTTTTTTCACCATTAATAATATGAAAATCTGGCTGGGTGCTGTGGCTCATGCCTGTAATCTCAGCACTTTGAGAGGCTAAGGCCGGCGGGTTGCTTCAGGCTAGGAGTTTGAGACCAGCCTAGCCAACATGGTGAAACCTGGTCTGTACTAAAAACAAAATATTTGCTGGGTGTGGGGTGTGTACCTGTGGTCACAGCTACTCAGGAGGCTGAGGCTGGAGGATCACTTGAACCCATAAGGCGGAAGTTGCTGTGAGCAAAGATCATGCCACTGCACTCCCAACTGGGCAAAAGAGTGAGACGCTGTGCCCCACAAAAAAGTTAGCCAGGCACGGTGAAACATGACAGTCATCCCAGCTTCTTGAGAGGCTGAGGCATGGGAATTGTTTTAACCTGGGAAGTGGAGGTCACACTGAGCCAAGGTCATACCAATGCACTCCAGCCTGGGCAACAGAGCAAGACTCTGTCTCCAAAAAATTAAAAAATGAAATCCATGCTGAGCTCATGAGCCGTATGTGGACCTTAGTCCATTTTTGGCCAGCCCCTGGCTTAGAGGAATGTTCTTCTGAGAGTCAGATCACCTGCCACATTCTACTGCCAGCTCACAATGTGACCCCGAAGCCAGTTAGCTCACCTCCCTGGCTCTAGATTTTGTCACATGGAAAATGAAGGGGTTAGATCTCAAGCACCTCAAATACTGGGCCCTTCCCTTCCTTCTCATGCACACAGCAGACACCTACAGTCACTCATGGCGTTCTTTCCCACTGAGTTACGTGCAAGCAGCCTTCTAGGTGACTGCTGCCAGTGGACTGGAGTTGAGCAAGAAATGGCATCTCCTTGCTCTTCTGTGACTCCGTGTTCCCTAAGATCACTTCTAGATCCAGTGCCCCTGCATTCTGCCTGTACAGCACATTCTTCTTATACCCTGGTCCTTTAACTTTACCAGGGTGTGTTGACGAACTCTGTCTCTTTTATTTCTCTTCAAAATTTTTTTTGTATTTTTAGTAGAGTTGGGTTTTTTCCATGTTGGTCAGCCTGGTCTTGAACTCCCAACCTCAGGTGATCCACCCATCTTGGCTTCCCAAAGTGTCAAAGTGTTAGGATTATAGGCATGAGCCACCGTCCCCAGCCTCTTTTTTTTTTTTTTTTTAAGAGACGAATTCTCACTCTGTCATCCAGGCTGCAGTGCAATAGCACGATCTCCATTCACTGCAGCCTCTGCCTCCGGGCTCAACTGATTCTCCTGCCTCAGTCTCCCAAGTAGCTGGAAATACAGGTGCAAGCTGCCTTGCCCAGCTAATTTTTTTTATATTTTTAGTAGAGATGGGATTTCACCATGTTGCCCGACTTGGTCTTGAACTCCTGAGCTCAGGTGATCCACCCGCTTGGCCTCCCAAAGTGCTAGGATTACAGGCATGAGCCACCATGACCATCCCTTCCCCCGCTCCCTGCCCCGAGACGGAGTCTCACTCTGTCACCCAGGCTGGAGTGCAGTGGTGCCGTCTCGGCTCACTGCAACCTCCGCCTCCCAGGTTCAAGCGATTCTCATGCCTCAGCCTCCTGAGTAGCTGGGATTACAAATGCACACCACCATACCTGGCTAACTTTTGTATTTTTAGTAGAGATGGGGTTTCACCATGTTAGCCAGGCTGGTCTTAATCTGACCTCAGGTGATCCACCCACCTCAGCCTCCCAAAGTGCTGAGATTATATGCATAAGCCACTGTGCCCAGCCAATAGTTCGTTCTTGTACATAACTTAGTATTCAGTTGTGCAGATGCACATAATGGGTAAATCTGTCTGTTCACTTGCTAATAGATGTCTGGCTTACCTCCAGTTTGGGTTATCACAAAGTAGCTAAGAACATTCCTGTATCAGTCTTTTATAAACCTATGCTCTCAGCTCTCTTGGGTGGATGTCTGGGAAGGGAGTGGCTGGCTGTATGGTAACTATGTCTAACTTAAAAAAAAAAAAAAACTGCCAAACCCTTTCAGAGTCACAGAAGCATTTTATAGTCACACCAGCAGAAACCACAATCCAAAATGGCCCTAAGCTCTAAGAGGCCATACACAAAAAATAGAACATAAAACTACTACACACCAACCAATGAAGCATGGTGTTTTCAAACCAAAGGTAGAAGCAGGGAGATCGCTCACACCTGCCCTTTTCTTTTCTTTTTTTATTTTTAAGATGGAGTCTCACTCTGTCCCCCAGGCTGGAGTGCAGTGGTGTGATCTCGGCTTACTGCAACCTCTGCTTCCCAGGTTCAAGCAATTCTCATGCCTCAGCCTCCCAGGTAGCTGGGATTACAGGCAAGTACCACCACACCCAGCTACTTTTTGTATTTTTAGTAGAGATGGGGTTTTACCATGTTGGCCAGGCTGGTCTCGAACTCATGACCTCAGGTGATCCTCCCACCTCCACCTTCCAAAGTGCTTTGACTACAGGCATGAGCTACCCAGCACACCTGATTTTTGAGAGGAAGTCACTGAGGGATGAAGAAAGGTTGTAAAGGGGTCCAAGAAGCCATATAGACCCCCAAGCCCAGGCCTCCCTCACCCAGTCCCTGAGCCTAGGAAATCCAGCAGCCCAGAGCTGCATGGGCTGCATTCCCTTCTCTGGTTAATTAAAGGGATCTGGCTATAAAGGGCCACACCAGGAAATTCCAGCCTAGGACAGGGTTGTTCTTGTCATTCTCTCCAGTTCCACAGGGGTTAGAGGTGCCAGATCTGGCTTATGCCTCTGGGAATAAAGCAAGCGATCCATCTATCAACGTCCCTAGGAAATGATGCCCTGGCCCCAAGCTGAGCATCCCTAAACACCAAGGTACTCTCAGAGCCAGCCCCCTTTTAGGTGGCCTGCTTTCAAGCCCAATGAGCCAGTTCTTACCACACCCTCCCTGGCAAGATGGAAGTGTAGAGATCAATAAATACAACTTGTACAACTAAAACATGCCCAGCACTTACTCAGGACTAAGGCACAGCTTATTATGACATTTATGTCACTGAATTTTCAGAAAATGCTCTGGGTAATAAATGGAGGCTTGTGCCTGTAATCTCAGCACTTTGGGAGGCCAAGGTAGGTGGACTGCTTGAGCTCAGGAGCTCAAGAACAACCTGGGCAACATGGCAAGATACCATCTCTAAAAAAAAAAAAAAAAAAAATAGCCAGGTGTGGTGGTAAGCCTACCTGCCCATAGACCCAGCTACTCATGAAGCTGAAGTGGGAGGATCACACCAGCCTAGGTGATGGTGGTTGCAGTGAGCTGAGATGGCACCATTGTACTCCAGCCTGCACAAAAGAGTGAGACCCTGTGTCAAAATAAATAAATAAAATGGAGGCTCCCAGTGAGGCATGAAAGAACTTCATGGACAGGCCTTGAGGTCCCCACCCAGGTCTATCTGCCTTGACTCTCATCCCTAATATCCACCTTCCCCAGGGCAGCCTGGATTGTTATAAACCAAAGCTCAGCTGTGTATGGTGGATCACACCTGTAATCCCAGCTACTAGTAGGGAGGCTGAGGCAGGAGGATCTCTGGAAGTCAAGAGTTAGAGACCAGCCTGGGCAACATAATGAGACCTGTCTCTATAGAAAAAAAAAAAAAAAAGAAAAAAAAATTTTAAAGGCCAGGCACAGTGGCTTACACCTATAATCCCAGCACTTTGGGAAGCCAAGGCAAATAGATCACCTTAGGTTGGGAGTTTGAGACCAGCATGACCAACATGGAGAAACCCTGTCTCTACTCAAAATACAAAAATAGCTGGGTATGGTAGTACATGCCTACAATCCCAGCTACTCAGGAGGTTGAGGCAGGAGAATTGCTTGAACCCAGGAGGCAGAGGTTGTGGTGAGCTGAGATTGCACCATTGCACTCCAGCCTGGGTGACAAAAGCGAAACTGTCTAAAAAAAAATACATATATAAAATAATAAATAAATAAGGCATGGTGTTGCACACCTGTAATCCCAGCTACTTGGGAGGCTGAGGCATGAGAATCACATGAATGCAGGCGGTGGAGATTGCAGTGAGCTGAGATGATGCCACTGCACTCCAACTTGGTGACAGAGCAACACTTCGTCTCAAAAAAAAAAAACAAACAAAAAAAAACAGTATATGTGTTTTGTGCCACTCTGAACCCTCAGGGACTAAACATCACTAAGCACAAAAACAGCAGTCAATTTCAACTGTTCAATGAATTAAAAGCCAGGTCAGTGGAGGAGCTTCTTGATTCAAACTCCATCCTCCTCCTGAGGCTCTGCCTCTGCCATGGTGTCTCCAACAACTGCTCGCCTGGCAAGCTCCAGAACACAAAGGTGGGCATCCTTCTTCCATGAAAAGAAGCCAAGACAGGTGATCAGCAAAGGCACTGGTGATGAGGAATGCTGAAGTCCATGCTACAAATGTGGCCTTAATAACAGGGAAAACACTGCAGGTGAGGCTGAAGGAATCCAGGTGATAGGTGATGTTAGGGGTAAACTTGACGGGGTTAAGAGATACCCAGATGGCTGCTAAAGTGTTATTTCTGTGTGGGTGCCTGTGAGGGTGTTTCCAGATGAGACTGGCATTTGAATCAGTGGACTTAATGAGGATCCATCCTCACCCCATGTGATTGGGCACCACCCAATCAGCAGAGGGTCCAGACACAAGAAAAAGAGAAATGGTAAATTCATGTGATCTCTCTTCTGCAGCCAGGATGTCATCCTCTCCTGCCCCTGGAACTCCAGGCTATCTGGCCTCTGGACTCTGGGAATTACCCCAGTCACTCCAGGTTCTCAGGCCTCTGGTTGTAGACTGAGAATTCCACCATCAGCTTCCCTGGGTCTGAGATCTTCAGACTTGGCCTGAGCCATGCTACTAGTTCTCAGGTTCACCAGCTTCCAGGTGGCCTAGCATAGGACTTCTCCATAATCACATGATCCAGTTTCCCTAGTAGATCCCCTCTCATCCTCAATCCATCCAGTCATCCATCATCTATCAATCATCCATCTATCATCTACCTATCCACCTATCAAGTATCCATCCACTATCTATCCATCTATCATCTACCTATCATCTATCAATCTATCATTTATCCATCCATCCATCCTACTAGTTCTGTCTCCATGTAATAAACAGGGACCCCACCTCTGCCTGCCAACAACCTTCAACTGGGCCATGGACGTGGGCCATGTCCTTACAATGCTCAGCCATGGAGGCCCAAGCTCTATCTGTCTCCCACAAGACAATTTCTCCCATCACCTGGACCGCCCAAACAGTCTCCCCCAGGGTTACAAGGTCCTCTGCTGATGTCCTAGTGGTTGGCACCATGGACGTCCCAGATTTCCACCCACCATCTGGGTCTGACGGAAGGCCTGTATCCTGGGCATCCCTGGAACAGAATGAGGAACTGAACCTGGGTTTGGGGATTTCTCTGTAAGACCAACGGGTCTGTGGAGAATCCAGTGCACCAGGCTGGCTCTGTCACAGTTTACCATAGTAAGCTTACCCTGGAACAGGCAACAGAAACAAAAACAGCTACCCTACTGCCCCCATGGCCATAATCCACTGCCCCCACATCACTTGCAATTTCACCTTCCAGCTCATCTGGGCTTGGGATGCATCTTACGTCCTTGTTTAATTGGCAGTTGCTTTTCTTTCTATGATACACAGTAATAATGTATCATGCAACTGATGATGTCTCAGATTTGAAGAGTTAAGGTAAGTGCAGTGGAAGCCCTGACCTGATTCCCGAAAGAATGACAGAGGTGGTGCAGTGGGGCACGCTTTACATAGGGGGTAGAGTCTAAAATCCAGTACAGCCAAAATCACCTACAAATGGGGCTTCTTTGGCTAAACAAACGTACAGGGTCAGCTGGGTGTGTTGGACAGAAACACTTCAAACAGCAGGAACACGCGGGATGCCAGATGCTCAGAAAGAAACAGAACAAGTGAGACTGACTCAAGGAGGGACAGTCATGTGCTATGGCAAACAACATCAACTGCCTTCTTGGGCAGCGTTTTTCTCTCCTTATCTTGAGATGGAGTCACTCTGTCTCACAGGCTGAACTGCAGTGGTGCAATCTTGGCTCACTGCAACTTCTGCCTCCTGGGATCAAGCGATTCTTCTGCCTCAGCCTCCTAAGTAGCTGGGATTACAGGCGCTCACCACCACACCCAGCTAATTTTTGTATTTTTAGTAGAGATGGGGTTTCGTCATGTTGGCCAGGCTGGACTCAAACTCCTGACCTTGTGATCCACCCACCCTGGCCTCCCAAAGTGCTGGGATTACAGGCGTGAGGCACATGCCCAGCTTCTGTCTTTTCTACTCAGTTGCCTTAATGACTTGTGAGATTTTATCCCATTTGGCAGAAAAACAAACTGAAGCCAGGAGGAGAAGCGAGAACCACAAAGCTAGTAACAAGCAGCATTGCCAGGGCCACAGCCTGGATTCAGGCCACTGGGGTGGGAAGGAGGGAACTGGGGCATTCTAGAGAACAAGGAAACACACTTACTTCCTAGGCTTGGTGCATTTCTTCTTCCAGTTCTTTACCAAAACAGGCATGACTTGTTCCAATGTGTCCTCCTCCTTTAAGGACCAGAGGCCACTGCTCTCCAGGGGCTGGTGGTAGCCCCGGATGATCAACCTGAGGCAAAGACACAAGGGAGTTAGTTAGTCAATGAGAGGAGGAGGACAGGGCTCACTCACTCCACAAGCATGCCGATGCCACACCCCTCCTCAGCACAACTGCCCACTGTGAATGAAGGCAGCCACACAGCTGGGGATGTCTGAATTTGGATAGACATTTGCACATATTACAAGGTTATTACAGCTCATTCTGTTGGGTCATAAAGGAAAAATGGCTTTCTTTTGCAGAGATGCATAGAAAAGATTTAGGGAAAAAAAGGTGATTTAGGAGGGAAATATCAAGATGGCGCTAATTCACTCTTTTTCGCCATTCATTTATTTTTTTGTTTTGTTTTTTTGAGATGGAGTCTTGCTATGTCACCCAAGTTGGAGTGCAGTAGCATGTTCTTGACTCACTGCAACCTCTGCCTCCTGGGTTCAAACAATTCTCCTGCCTCAGCCTCTCAAGTCTGAGACTACAGGCACATGCCACCACACCTGACTAATTTTTTATATTTTAGTAGAGACGGGGTTTCACCATGTTTCCCAGGCTGGTCTCAAGCTCCTGAGCTCAGGCAATCTAGCCCCCTTAGCCTCCCAAAATGCTGGGATTACCGGCATGAGCCACCATGCTCAGCCTCATTCATTCATTCATTTATTTGGTGACAGGGTATCACTGTATCACCCAGGATGGAGTGCAATGCCATGATCATGGCTCCCTGCAGCCTCCAGCTCCTGGCTTAGAGTAATCCTCCCACCTCAGCCTCCTGAGTAACTGGTACTTCAGGTGTGAGCAATTATGACTGGCTAATTATTTTTTATTTTTGTAGAGACAGAGTCTCCCTATGTTACCCAAGCTGATCTTGAGCTCCTGGGCTCAAGCAATCCTCCCACCTTGGCCTCACAAAGTGTTGGGATTATAGGCATGAGCCACTATGCCCTGTCAACTTTTAAAAATTTTACATTAAAAAAGGCTAATATTGGCCAGGACCAGTAGCTCATGCCTATAATCCTAGCATTTAGGAGGCTGAGGTGGGAAGACTTCATGAGCTCAGGAGTTCAATACCAGCCTGGGCAATATTGGGTGACTATCTCTACAAAAAGTAAAAATAAAAAATATTACCCAGTCATAATGGCTCACACCTGTAGTCCCAGCTACTCAGGAGGCTGAGGTGGGAGGACTGCTTGAGGCCAGGAGGTGGAGGCTACAGGGAGCCGTGATCATGTCATTGCACTCTAGCCTGGGCAACAGAGCCAGACCCCCTAAAAAAAAAGCAGGTTGAAGGGGGGGAAAAAAGGCTGACATGACAAAGCATTTGCAATAGTGAAATCTGGGTGATAAACTTATTGAGTTTCATTATGTTATGTTAGTCTTTCTAAGTAACTCTACCCAGACTGGAGTACAGTGGTACAATCTCGGCTCACTGTAACTGCCGCCTCCTGGGTTCAAGCGATTCTCCTGCCTCAACCTCTCAAGTAGCTGGGATTACAGGCACCTACCACCACGCCTGACTAATTTTTGTATTTTTAGTGGAGACAGGGCTTCACCACATGGGCCAGGCTGGTCTCAAACTCCTGACCTCAGGTAATCCACCCGCCTCAGCCTCCCAAAGTGCTAACATTACAGGTATAAGTCACCACACTCGGCCAACTGAACACTATAATAAAAAGTTAACTTTATATTATAACACTATATTATAACTTTATAACACTATAATAAAAATGTAAGTTAAACACTTATATTTTTTGTTTTAAAATAATTTCAAACATACAGAAAAATTACTCAAATCATACTAAGAATTCACTCAACTTACCACAATTAACATGTTGCCAAGTTTACAGTAACATTCTGTCTCTATCCATTCACACACACACACTCACACACACACACACACACACACACGCGCAAACACATCATCTTTTTCTAAACCATTTCAGACAGTTAAAGGCCTAGCACAGTGTCTCACATCCATAATCCCAGCACCTTGAGAGACTGAAGTGGGTGGATCACCTGAGGTCAGGATTTTGAGACCAGCCTGGTCAACATGGTGAAAACCCATCTCTACTAAAATTACAAAAATTAGCCAGGCATGGTGGCGCATGCCTATAATCCCAGCTACTCAGGAGGCTGAGAGAGGAGAATCACTTAAGCCCAGGAAGCAGAGGTTGCAGATCATGCCACTGCACTCCAGCCTGGACAACAGAGCAAGACTCTGTCTCAAAAAAGCTAAGATATAGGCTCTACATATCTTTACTCCCAAAAAACTGGGGGTATCCCCTTACAATCCAGGACATGCTCTTATGTAACTGGAGCACAATTTTCCAAAACAAGAATGAATGTTATTAGCATGCATCTGGTGTCCTGCAGTCATATACAAATTACTCAACTGTCCCAGTGACTCTCTTTAATAGTAATTTGAAGAAATTATTTAAAACATCTAATCTTTTAAAAAGATGTTTGTAAAATGTTCATAAAGAGAAGAATGTGAGACTGGGCATGGTGGCTCATTCCTATAATACCAGCACTCTGGGAGGCTGAGGTGGAAGAATGACTTGAGCTCAGGAGTTGGAGACCAGCCTGGGCAAAAAATACAAAAATCTGTTGGGCATGGTCGAGCGTGCCCATAATCCCAGCTACTCAGGAGGCTGAGGCAGGAGCATCACCTGAACCCAGTAGATCAAGACTGCAGTGAGCTACGATTTTGCCACTGCACTCCAGACTCAGTGACAGAGTGAAAGCCTATCTCCAAAATACCAAAAAGATGATGCATATTAGGGTGAAAGAAAGATTCTTCAAATAATCCCCAATAAGATGTTGACAACGGGTAGAAATAGATGTAAAAAAAAGAAAACCACAAGTTGGCTGGGCATGGTGGCTCATACCTGTAATCCCACACTTTGGGAGGCTGATGTGGGTGGATCACCTGAGGTCAGGAATTCAAGACCAGCCTGGCCAACATGGCAAAACCCTGTCTCTACTAAAAATACAAAAATTAGCCAGGCACGATGGCGTACACCTATAATCCTAGCTACCTGGGGGACTGACGCAAGAGAATTGCTTGAACCCAGGAGGCAGAGGTTGTAGTGAGCTGAGATTGCACCACTGCACTCCAGCCTGGGAGACAGAGTGGGACTCCAACTCAAAAAGAAAAGAAGACCAGAAGGAGGCATACTAAAATGGTGACAGTTGTTGCCTCTGGGTGTTTCCTTACTACTGATCTGCACATGTGTTTTTTTAACCCACATTTCCTATGGTGAGGCAGTATTATTTTTCTAAGGAGTGGGGCCTGGGAGAGAAACAATGTCAATAATAACTATACCCAATATTTTAAAAACCCAAATATGTCAGGTTGAACATGATGTCTAAGCAAGAAATAAATAAAATAAATAAATAAATAAATAAATACTCAAATCTAAAGCTAAAGCAAGATCAGTTCAGTGTATGGCTGTCCCAGGCCAAGCCTTCTGTAGATATTTAAGCTGCTCATGGCTCATGTGTTTATCAGATTCAAGGTGATGGACTTGGGGGACAGAGTTGGTGTCTCTGAGACCACATGGCCAGCACAGGCAGATTCAAGACAACTCTGCAGAAGAGCGAAGGAGAGAAGTCAAGCCGGGAACTCCATGTTCACTCATTCATTCAGTCATTCATTCCCCACCACCTCCCTGAGGTCTTGGGGGCCCAGCCTTACCCTGTGATCCACCAGAAGGTGATCCTGGACAGGAAGGAAGTGCTGGATGCTGGGCAAGGATTCTAATGGAAAGAAAGAACAGGTTAGGGAGGAAGAGGGAAAGAAACGATTCAACTTTTCATCCAGGTCAGAGCTTGCCAAGGAGTAGTCAGCTGCCCATTCTTCCTTCAAGAGGACCGGTGTCCACTCCATACCATTCTGTACCCCAAAAGGATTCTCTCCTAAGCCCCAGGAGAAAGAAACTCATAGCAGCTCCTCTCATTTCACTCAACAGAGTGTCTACCAGGTGCAACCACAATACAGTAAGCTATCGGCCTGTCTTATCTTCTGTTCCCACAGCAACCCTAGGAGCTGGTGTTACCGTCATCCCCACTTCACTCATTCATTCAACAAGTATTTTCTGAGCACCTACTATGTGCTAGGCACTCTACAAGGTAATACAGGGTTATCTTAGATCCCCACAACAACCTCCTAAGCTGGTATTACTATTGTCCCCATTTTCCTCATTCAGGCATTGAATATTTATTGACCACCTACTATGAGCTAGACATGCTACCAAGAACTTATATACTTACATTATTTTATATCCTCATGGAATTCTATAAACATGGTATTATGATTATCTCCACTTCATTAATTCATCCAACAAATATTTCCTGAGCACCATCCATGTGCCAAGCACCCTGCATACAAATCTAAACAAACAGAAATGCCCCTGCCTGTATGGAGCTTGTCCACTGCAGTAATCATCAGTAATACCTGCCAAGATTCTCTACTATTAATACCTAGCTCTGTTCTAAGGGCTTTACACAAATTACCCTATTTTTTTTTTTTTTGAGACGGAGTTTCACTCATGTTACCCAGGCTGGAGTGCAATGGCGCGATCTTGGCTTACCACAACCTCCGCCTCCTGGGTTCAGGCAATTCTCCTGCCTCAGCCTCCTGAGTAGCTGGGATTACAGGCGTGCACCACCATGCCCAGCTAATTTTTTGTATTTTTAGTAGAGACAGGGTTTCACCATTTTGACCAGGATGGTCTCGATCTCTTGACCTCGTGATCCACCCGCCTCGGCCTCCCAAAGTGCTGGGATTACAGGCTTGAGCCACCGCGCCCGGCCTAAATTACCCTATTTAATCTTCATCCCCACCTCATAAGGTAGGTCAAAGTATATAGCATCACTGTTTTGCAGTTAAAAGAAACTGGGGACCAGAAATGAAATGATTTGTTCAAGGTCCCACAGATAAAAGTGGTGGAGACAGGATGTGAGCCCCAAAGAGTCAGGCTCCAGAGAGACATGCATCAAATGATTACACAAACAAATGCAAAACTGCAACTTCTGGGCCTTGATATGTGTCCTGAAGATAGAGAAATATTACCAGTGAGACAAGTCAGCATATGGGGGCTGATCTGGTGTACCAAGGTCAGAGAAGCTCCCCCAAGAAAGACAGTCAAGCTGGCGCCTGAAAGATGAGTAGAGGACAGCTAAGTAATGAGGAAAGGCAAAGCATCCCCAGCAGACAGCAGCACGTGCAAAGGACTAGTGGTAGAAGGAAGCATGGCAGACTCCAGGAACGCAGTCTACACTGAAGGCCACATATTTTGGTATTCATTCTAAGGGCAAGTGAAAGTACTGACAGACTCTAAGCAAGCTATCAAATAACTTATTTCCCAGAGGCATGAAGAGGAGCCCGAGCTCAACATACAGGCAAGAAAAGAAACTGACACAGAGTCCTGGGAAGATAGACCAAGCCTGGCTTTCAACACAGATGTATTCAGGTCAAAATTCTGAAACACAAACTTTAAGCAGGAGAAGAAAAAAGGTCACCATATAGCAATGAGAGCTTTAGCCAAGGACTCCACTCAAAGTTTCAGCCTTATGCAGAGATAAGGTGTTTACAGAGCCCAACAAGGCAGCATACTCTCCTCAAGTGTTTTCCATCCAAGGCTGGGTGTGCTTTTTTAAAAATACTGTATCCCGGCAGGGTGTGGTGGTTCATGCCTGTAATTCCAGCATTTTGGCAGGCCACGGTGGGCAGATCACCTGAGGTCAGGAGTTGGAGACCAGCCTGGCCAACATGGCAAAGCCCTGTTTCTACTAAAAATACAAAAATTAGCTGAGAGTGGTGGCTAACAACTGTAGTCCCAGATACTCAGGGGGCTGAGGCAGGAGAATCACTTGAACCCAGGAGGCAGAGGTTGCAGTGAGCTGAGATCCCACCACTGCACTCCACTCTGGGGACCCTGCCTGCATCTGGGCCCTATCCTCGCCAGGGATTCTGATTAAGCTGGTTTGGGGTGTGACTGGGGCCCTGAAACTTTGTTTTAAACATTCACATTCTTCTTAGACAAGTGGCTGGGCAGGAAATATGCAAGATAAGCCAAGACCATTGTATCACACTGGACAACAAGGAAACTAAGCATAAACAGGATTGTTACAAGGCCCAAGAGCCAAGCAGAAGTGGGACTACAGGCTTAAAAAGGGACAATTTGAGCTTGGACAAGGAGAGGAAGTGCAACGGGCTGAAACATACCACGTATGTTTGGTTTGTTTGTTTTTTTGAGACGAAGTTTTGCTCTGTCTCCCAGGCTGGAGTGCAGTGATGTGATCTTGGCTCACTGCAACCTCCGTCTCCTGGCTTCAAGTGATCCTCCTGCCTCAGCCTCCCAATAAGCCAAGACACTGGGCTAATTTTTGTATTTTTAGTAGAGATAGGGTTTCACCCTGTTGGTAACCAGGCTGGTCTTGAACTCCTGACCTCAAGTGATCCACCCACCTCAGCCTCCCAAAGTGCTTGGATTACAGAAATGAGCCACTGCACCTGGCCAAAAACCTCCATGTTTACTTAAGGTTTTAATGATTAATTTCACATTATAATGTGAAAAGTAATGAGTCTCTAGCAGTCTTATCCCAAAAACGGGGGCTGATTATAAAGTAGTACTTTGCTCAGTCCATTTTCCTTCAAATCACCTATTTTGAGAAAATACACTAGTTTCATTTTCCACTCCCATATAGGGGTGGTAAATACTACTAGGACAAAAAACATAATTAGCACCAGTACAAATTCAAGGTTTCCAACCTGAGTGTAAGCATTGCTTTGTAGTTTTTTTTCCACCCATCCCAGGTTACAGTCTCCTTTTACCCCAAAATGAAATCTCAAACGTCCTCCATTTTGAATAAAACGCATGCTGGCCCCTCAGTGGAAAACATCAACCATGAATTATGAGTCTTTTTCACTTTACCTTCACACCACCGATTTCTGTCACACTGACTGTGCTTATTACCATGTATGTCTAGCATTAGACTGGACTCCTAGGGAAGAGGAACTCACATTCATTTCTCAGTCCTAAGGGCAAAACTCCAAAGTGTAATTAAGGAAATAACTCCAATTCTTCCAAGTTCTGAATTCGTCATCCTCTCAAAAATGGCAGTGTGTATTCGAGCTCTGCTTATTTTCCTGATCCAGTTCTCCATATTTGGGAGATCTTACAAAATAGGCCAGGAAGGCAAAAATGTCTAGAAATTATTCCCACATGATAATCTTTGCAAATACAACTCTTAGACCTAACTTTATACTACTAAAAAATTTCATACTTTTTTTTTTTGAGACAGGGTCTTGCTCTGTCACCCAGGCCGGAATACAATTACAGCTCACTGGAACCTCATCCTCCTGAGCTCAACAGTCCTTCCACCTCAGCTTCCCAAGTGTTGGGGCCACAGGCACAAGCCACAATGTGTGGCTAATTTTTTGTAGAAATGGGGTTTTACCATGTTGCCCAGGCTGGTCTCAAACTTCTGGGCTCACAGGATCTGCCTGTCTCAGCCTCCCAAAGTGCTGGGATGACAGGTGTGAGCCACTGTGTCCAGCACCAATACCACATTTTAATTATGTGTTGAGGTGGCTGGATTGAAGGAAGAAATGGGTACTCCATTTTATTTCCCAGTCCTAAGGGGTTTTAAACACACTAATATTAAAGTTTAAATGCCCTAGAGCTGAAAAAGAGATTTAAAAACTTGACAGTCTCACAGTATCTGGTATAAGTTGAAGAAAAATAATGAAATGCAAGGTGCTTAGTATTTTAAAAGAATTTGAGTGAATTTTGCATCTGTAAAAATGAAATCAGAATAATCTGAGAAAAGATTTCAGAGATGAAGATTTTCAGAGATGAAAAGCATGATTTGCCAAATTTAAAACAGCAATAGAAGCAATAAGTAGCAGATGAAATATAACCAAATAAAAATTAGTAACAAAAAAAATCAGTAAATGAATTATCCTACAACTCAAATCAAAAGGACAAAATAGATTAACAAGATGAAAGAAAAAAATGTTAGAAATATGCAGATCAACCTTACCAATACTGTGTATAGACAGAAAACAGTATATATATATATATATATATTTTTTTTTTTGACAAATGTATTGAGCATCGAGCATCTACTATACTACAGCCATGACATAATAGAGAATAAGAGAGACATGGAATGTGTCTTCAAAACGTCCATGTTCTGGAACAAATGAAGCTGAAGTAGTAACTAAAGAAATTACTGAAGAAAACTATTTTTATGAAGAAAGGGGGTAGGAAGAAAAGGAAAGGAAAAAAATAAATGTATACATTTTATGTCTTAGCCAAATTTAAGGCAAAGAGATTCTGATAGAATTTCAAAGATTTCAGAGATAAAGTATCCTTCAAGCACGGTGAGGATTGGGTGTCTAGGGTAATCGAGTTTTTAAAAACATCTGGGTGGCAATGTTTTTAAATGAATACCATACGTGGACAAGGATATGGTTAAATTGGCACTCTCATACATTTGAAGTGGGAACATAGATTGTTTTAATTTTTTAGATATAAATTTGATGATTCCACTTCATGTATAGCTTAAGAACCAAGCTAAGGTTTTTGCCAGCCATGGTAGCTCATGCCTGCAATCCCAGCACTTTGGGAGGCTTAGGAAGGCGGATCACATGAGGTCAGGTGGATCACCTGAGGTCAGGATTTCAAGACCAGCCTGGCTAACATGGTGAAATTTCACATCTACTAAAAATACAAAAATTAGCTGGGTGTGGTGGTGCATACCTGAAATCCTAGCTAGTTGGGAGGCTGAGACAGAATTGTTGAACCCAGGAGGCAGAGGTTGCAGTGAGTAGGGATTGTGCCACCACACTCCAGCCTGGGCAACAAAGGGATACTCTGTCAAATAAATAAATAGAACTTGGGCAACAAAGCAATACTCTGTCAAATAAATAAATAAATAAAGCCTTAGTAAGGTTTCTTATACCCTTCCCATCCCCTTCTATTCTTTGTGCTACTGTCATACCTTTTACTCCCATATTATAAAACTTATAATGCATTACTATTTTTGCTTTAAACAACTAACTTTTTAAAGCTACTATTTCTTTAATTCACAATGTTGGACAACCACCACCACTAATTGCAGAACATTTCCATCCCACAAAAAGGGAAATCCTGTACCTGTTAGCAATCACCTTCAATACAACAATGTTTTAAAGAGATTAAAAAAGAAAAATAAAATTGTCTTATTTTTATTCCCATAGTTACCATTTCTAGCACTTCTCAATCTTTTGTCATTTTCCTTCTGCCTGAACAATGTCAACATTTCCTGTGGAGGTCTACCAGCAACAAGTTCCAGTAGGCCTTTTTGTTTGTTTGTTTGTTTTGAGACAGGGTCTCGCTCTGTCCCCCAGGCTAAAGTGCAGTGTGGTTCAATTATAGCTCACTGCAGCCTCTGCTTCCCAGTCTAAAGCGATACTCTCACCTCAGTCTCCCAAAAAGCTAGGACCACAGGTGCAAAACCATG